TTAGGTACAAAAAGTTTAAGGTAGAAAAGTTGTTTTTTAAAGCATTTCATTTGGTTGGTGAAGGTGTTTTCTTCAAAAATCCAATGAAAAATCCCATGTATTTGTCCAGGATTTAAACCTGGACTTTGCTTTGCCTCCGTCTCTCGCTGTTTTTCTCAGTGTCGTGTAAAAACAGTCTTAGGTTTTGGTCTTGCTTAAAACATTCAATTTTGGCATCATCTCTTCTTCAACATGATCCAAAAAATAAAACCAAAAAAACAGAACGTGTCCGTAGATACAAGCCTCACGACAGCCCATGAAAAAACTATTACAAAGATTCAAAAGGACTTAAATAGAATCCAATAAATACATAAATAACTTAATAAATAACGCAAAGACAAAAAGTAGTTTGTAAAATACAAGTGGACCTACACGTCCCAACCCCCGAAAGCACACACTTCCCGCTTTACGATAAGTTACAAAGGTTTCCCCAACACAAGGAGCCCGAGAGATAAGTTTAAAGCTTTTGGTTCAACATCAAGTCGCCGTCGCGTTCGGCAACACGGCCCCATCTTATTTTTTTCTTTTTTTTTACACAAGCAACAAGTTTCAAGAGCGTTCGATTTCGTTCCCCACTAAAATAAACTAGCTATACTTGCCCCGCCCCCCCGCGATCCACCCCCCTCTCTGCTGCCTTCTGCTGCGTCCTATTTGAGGAGTGGGTGGAAAAACTGTTGAGGTGAGACAGGAGCCATTTTGATTTTGTTCTTTCGGTTGAAAAAAATGAGGAAGTATTCAATGGTTTTACTACCTTTTCAATGGTAGATGCTCAGAGAGTTGTGTTGCGGAAAAAAAGTAGGATTCCGACTCTATTTTGAACAAGATTGGAAATGTCTCCACTGTGAGATCAATAAAGTTTATCTTATGGTAAATGTTGATTAGAGATGCACCGATGTGGTATTGGGGTGGGAAGTCTGTGCCCATCCAGGAATACAGTATATGCTGAAAAAGTACCAAGAGTAACTACGGGTGAAAAAAAAAATGCTTTCAGCGTGTAACTCCCTTAGTCGCCACCAGAGGGAGGAGTTGAATTTGATTTAGAGGCACTAGTTTCGTTTTAAAAGTCAGGCAACTGCTCTGAGTGTGATGTCATAGTGGAACAATGACGTCATGCTGTGAACAAAGACAGAGACAGAAGTTTTCAGACAGAAAACTACAGAATTTACTGCGGTGGAAGATCATTGCCGATCCAGGAACCTAAGTTGGAATCAGATACAGGTTCTATATCACTAAGCTAATTGACACCGTGGGCAGGGAGGATTCCGATACAATTATTGTAGATTATTACTGTTTAAACGTCATGCTAAATTACAGGTTCCATATCACTCCAAGTCTGGGCAGCTTCTCAGCAAGAGGGTCCTAGGTTCGAATCCTAATTGGAACAAGGACTTCACCATGTGGAAAGAATGGAAACATTCTCAACAGTTGTAAACACTTTTTAGTAAACTTGGTCTGGAAAATGTGCAATATAAATAAAGATGACGTAGTTACTTTACTTCCTGAGTGTAGTTTATACGCTCTCCCTGTGTTTGCCTTGGTTTCTGTTGGTGTTTTATCACTAAAACAATCGGTTAAATCCTCTGGTGGACACATTATTCTGCATTATAGAGTTACTTTTAAAGGCCTCTTCTTTAGCAGTTTCCAAACCTGCTAAATATGTTTAGGGTTAAATACAGTTTGTTTCGGAGTGTGTTCCTGATTCTGGATCGGTGCATCCATAATCCTAATATTCAATAGATATTATTTAACCACACTATCGTTGGAGAATAGGAATCCACTTTTCAGATCTTCAACAAACCTTTTTTGTCATAATATTTTTGTTGATGTTCAAAGTCGTCGTTTTAATACTACTTTCTGTATCCTGCGTTACTTTTGGCACAACCCCAGATGTAAAGCAAGTATTTAAATCTATTTTTTATATGATGCTATGACGCATTCATGTTTAAGTGCCTTGGTAATCATAATCTCAGTGTGTTAGAGTACAGCGTTTCTGCACTGGTTTACGTGACGGAACAAAGAGACAGACTTAGGAGCTGTCGAAAAGCTCCAGAGAACTATTATAAATCAATGGCAGAAGCCTTTTTAACATGGAAATATAAAATCACAGCTTCTTAGGAACGCAAGTCGATGTCTGCAAGAAGTTTCAAATGTTTTTAGAGAAAGAATAAGAACGCAAAACCAGCCTCAAGTCTCAAACCGCAGCAGTCCCACTTCCTACAGCACTCATATTTTCTGTTTTAAAGTTTTCTATAATGGTTTGGTTTTTAACACAAGTTTATCTGCACACACCAGACACACACATACAAACACACACACACACACTCACCCCTCTTGTGCATTGGTTTGGTTGTTTCTATTTGGTTTGGTTATATGTCTTAACATTTTGCTTTTGGTTTAACAGTTTTGGTTTAAGTAAGAACATTCGGAAACGGCTAAAAACGATGTGTTATTCTTGCACGCGGAAGCAACATATTCACAGTTTTTTCCAGCCGCAACAGTGAAGAAAGGAGCTAAAACCGGCGCGTTAAAAAACCCCCAAAAGAAACGACGAGATATGAGTTTAGGCAACACTTCGCTTGAACTTCCCCACGACTCCCCCTTCCCCTAACCCCCTCCCCTCCCTCCCCAAAAACTCCCAGAGCGTTTCGAAAGTAGAAACGCAATGAGACCACCCCAAACAGCAGAAACAGACACACTATGGTAAAGCAAACACAAAAATATATATATATTCTTAGAGTCAGTTTCTTGAGGTTATTCCATATCTAATCCATCCAGGAAAGAGCCGCAAAGCCGCCAGAGCAAAACCAGAGGGGGAAGATTTTTTTGGGCCATTTTGAATCTGTCAAAAAACAAAACGACAATAATCACAGTCAATCAAGCTCAGTTCAAAATGGCTGCGTTTTTCGTGGGCCTTCCCCCCGGTCGCCTGCTGCTCCGCGTGTTTTTTGGTATTTCATCAGTCACTCACACTAGTAGCAGTAGAAGTAGCTTTTGGTTTTTGGATTTTACTTTTTGGTTTTTCGAGCCTCCACACCTCTTCTTCGTCTTCTTCCAGCGCTTTTTGTTTCTCCTCCATTCTCGCTTTTTCAGCTTCGAGCACCTCCGGACGTCACTCTTTCTCTCGCTCTCTCTTATTCTCTCTTTCTTCTTTTGGCCCTTTTTGATGTAATCTTTGGAGACACAGGAGAGGGGCGTCTGAGGCAGAGGGCAGGTGCCTTTGGTTCTTTCGTGGACGGAGTTTGGACAAAAAGCTGGGGTCTAGACTCCGGTCTCGAGGCCAGAACCCAGACTGGACTGGTGCTTGGCTCGAGGTGGTGCTTTGGTTTCTCAGAGTGACTTTCTTGCAGGTTGTGAGAACACATGACGTGGGTCAGTGGTGGCGTATGAATAAAACAGAGGAAATAAGGTAATGAAAAATAGATAGACAGGAGTGTAAGACAACGGAACAAGGGTCCAGGGGCCAATAGGAAACATTTGTGGAACAGGACAAGGTCTGGATTTCATGTTATTTCATATGTCGGTTTAAAATCTTGGACTTTCTCTCAATAACTTTCTACACCTATTGCTCCCAATTCAAATATACATTACAAATTGGGTTGTCTCTTCTGAAAAGGGTTTTAAAATGACTGATTATGAGAAGTTCGTAACATTAGGTCTAGACTAGAGCAAGGGTATCCAACTTGGTCGTCAAAGGCCCAGGGTACCCACTCCAGACTCCACCCATTTCCTCAGATGAGTCCAGTCTGAATCTGTCATGGCGTGGTCTTTTTGATGACTTATACCTGGTTTTATGTTGATTCATTGATTCTTATTTTGTGTGTGTCTCCATGTGTGTATTTAAACCTCTTGTATCCTCTAATCTAGTTCCCTGTGTCTTCAAACTTTGATTTTGGATGTCCATTATATCCTGGATTTAGTTATTACTTAGTTTTGTTTATGAAATCTTGTATTTTTGCCTGCATTTGAGTTCTCCCTTAGTTCTGCATTCATGACAGGACCTGAAGACTTAACGAAATGGGTGAAGTCTAAAGTGCTCTTGCTTGATTGGTATAAAAACTCACAGCCACACCGACCCTTTGAGCACCGAGTTGAACACCCGAGATCAAGAGGATGCAAACTTTAACACATGGCCAATAAAACCCATCAGAATCTCAGAGGGGTCTGGATCCTTTGGTCCATTATCTTAACGCCTTTCTTCTTGGTTTGTCAGTATTTAAAGCTTTGCCAACTCTGTGGACTTTGGTTCACGGTTGAGGAGGTAGATGTTACCTGGGGTCGAGTAAACATTTGGCATTGTATAAAATGATACAAAAAACAGATTATTTGATCAAAGCAAAATAAACGTAAACAGATGTGTGTGTGTGAGCGCTGGATCCATCCTGGACAGGTCATGTGGTAAAGTCTTTTTCAACTAAAGCTTTTCCCTCCGTTTTGTTGGTTTTTGACATTTTTTGGTTTAAGTTTTTGGTATTTGGAGATCCCGTTTCTTCTCGTGTGTCTCTAAAACTTTTGGTTGCACCGTCCGACCTCCTCCATCTTTAACAAAAGTCTTTACATCTTGGCGTCTTCTCCGCCTGGTCCCTGCCCTCTTCGTTGTGTTTCTCGAGCTCTCGCGAACCCCTCGGCCCTCAGCGCCTCCTCTCCAGTTCGTTTATTTGGTTTCAGACGACCCCCCCGTTCTGAAGGTCTCTCTGTCCTCAGCCTCGCATCCCCCCTCCGCCCCTCCCCCGCCCTCCCCCCTCTCGTCTGAGTATATTTTTGGCTTCGGGAGACTCGAAGGGGAAGCAGGCGCGAGGGAAACCCGCGAGAGACGGCTGAGACAGAAAGATGGCTTTGGTTGAAAGGCGAGGTTGTACATTAAAATCGGTAAAGCTTGTGAACTCCTCCTCCCCTCCTCCCCCCTTCCTCCCCCCTGTCCCGCTCCGATTGGGACACACTTTTTTTTGGCTTTGTGTTTTGGCTCAGTCGGCCATGGTCCCTCCCAGCGGCGGCGGGGAGGCCTCGCTGAAGGAGCAGAAGGAGCCGGGGCTGGAGCAGGGCGACTCTTCGGGGCAGGACGTGGGGCTCATGAGCTCGGATGGGCCGGACGCAGAGGGTTGAGGGTACGAAGCCCTCGGAGCGCCCATACCCCCGCCCACACCGCCCACCATGCCCATAGAGGAGCCACTCATCATGGGCAGCAAGCCGGGGCGGTTAAGGAAGAGAGAGGGCCGCATGGAAGATGACACTGCGGCGCCACCAGGGCCCAGGAGCATGTGGCCGGGACCCCCCTCCAGAGAAGACAGAGGCAGCTGCCCCCCACTGGCCAGAGCTGGGATAGCACACAACAGAGAGAGACACACAGTTAAAAATCTGCTTACATTCTGGTGATTTATTGTGATTTTAGTGCATTCTAACTATTGTAACACAAGGACTCCCAGAGCAGGCAATTTGACGACTTTACGATTTGGAAGTGTAATGACTAAAGAACCATTTGAGGCGTCTTCAGTTTCTATATGTAGTTTATTACTTTGTCATTATTTTTATGAAATTATCTTTTATTTTTTAAATGTGAGAAGTTCTATCTTGAACTAAAATTCAAAGTTTATTCCTTGCCGATGCAGGAGGGTCTGTTAGACTGTTGGTGTCTGACAAGAAGAACTGTGGTGATGGACATTGGTCTCTCCCATTGGACCAATACCATGTGTTCTAGATTTTCTGTGTCTTAACTGTTGATTCTCTGATCTGTGTTGGTGATTTTAATAGTTTTGTTAAGTCCTCTGAGATGATGCTGTTGTGAGTTAGTGCTATACAAGAATATATTGTATTGTATTGTATTGTGTTGTATTGATCCAAAGCCATTTTGGATTGCTCTGTAACCATTGTTCAATGGCAGGTAAAGCCCATTTTTCAAGCTGCTAGTTCTGGACTGGTTCTGGATTGGACCTGGACTGGTTTTGGACTGGACCGGTTCTGGATTGGTTCAAGACTGATTCTGGTTCAGCTGACCATAGATAGGGTTAGGGTGTAAGCTGCAAGCTGTAATTAGTTACAATCACCTGTTTTAGCAAGTGTTACAAGTGACTAACGGTCAAAACTTTATAAATTACTTTCTTTTAATAAAACTGGTGGAAGTTAGAGTAGGATAATAATTCTGGCAGTCCAATGGATTTGGAAAGATGGGCTTGTAAAAGAACATCTAGTCAATCACTATGCACTAAAATCAAGATACTGTAATTTTGACTTTTTCAAAAACATATAATTTTGTAATTTTTGACAGTGGGTGAATGAGATGCGACGAGGGGATGGACTCACACACACTGAACAGGAGAGAAGGGAGTGGGTAAAGAAGAAAAGGTTTTAAAACATAAAAATGAAGATATATTCAGGACCACAACAACCATAGTGCATGAATTTATCACTTATTACATTCTTTTTAAACACAGTAAATTAGAACAAAGTGGAGGCGACTGAGGACATCCTGAAGTCTTTCCCGTCACACAGCGAGTCCCTCACTCTCCTCTCAGCAGGTGTCAGTTCTTGAGCCTGTGTCTAGACCTGGCTGTGATTGTCCAATGACCAAATCAGTGGACGGTGATTGAAATAAATGATTACCTTTGCTCGCCCTAAACAAAGTGACTTAAGGGCAGCGAGGTCTGTGCAGAGTCTGCAGGGACGTGCTTTTCTGCAGCTTCTGAGAAGAGGCTTCTAAACCAGTTTTACCGCTTGTTGAAAGACATTCACAGTGGAGGACCAAAGATACTGGCTAGTCTGATTCCATACTACTATACTACCATACTGGTATACTACCATACTACTTATACAACCATACTACTATACTACCATACTGGTATACTACCATACTGGTATACTACCATACTGGTATACTACCATACTGGTATACTACCATACTACTTATACAACCATACTGGTATACTACCATACTGGTATACTACCATACTACTTATACAACCATACTACTATACTACCATACTGGTATACTACCATACTACTTATACAACCATGCTACTATACTACCATACTGGTATACTACCATACCGGTATACTACCATACTACTTATACAACCATGCTACTATACTACCATACTGGTATACTACCATACTACTTATACAACCATACTACTATACTACCATACTGGTATACTACTATACTACCATACTACTATACTACCATACTACCGTACTTCTATACTACCATATTACTATGCTACCATATTACCATACCCCCATACTACCATACTACCATACAACCATTCTATTATACTACCATACATTACATTACCACATTACCATATTGACATTAAATTCATGGGCTGTCCAGTCGAAATGGTTAAAGAACATCTCCATTTAGGATTCTGGATTACAAACGATCTAAAATTTGACAAACAAGTCGACCACGCCTGCCGAAAGGTGGCATAAATGTTCCTCCTTCGTAGACTCTCCCTCTCTGTTAAAGACAAAAATCTACTAACAAGACTGTACAAATGTTATATTCTACCTCACTTTGAGTACGCGTCACCTGTCTGGGCTGCGCTAAATGTCACACAAACTAACCGCTTGGAAAAACTCCAACGCCGAGCCATCAGGATCATACTACACTACCCCTATACACAACCAGTTACAGATGGGGATTATGAAGAACTCAAACTGGCTCCTTTAAAACATAGAAGAAACTTTGCAGTGATGTGCTATGGCTACAAGCTGTTACGTGGTTTACTCCCAAAGGCTCTCCAGTCCTTTTGTCCCATTATTAAACGAACTCCTATTCAAACACGGAATAAAACACTCGTCCACCCGGGCATAGAATTCCCCACGAGTCGAGCATTGGACCGATCTCCATTCCTATTTTTAACAAAGCTATTAAACAAATCTCCCGAGCTGTGGGACTGTCCCACCTTGGACAATTTTAAAAACAAATTATGGGACATCAAGCATAGGCTGATTTTTGATACTATGTTTTAATATTTAAGAAACCAGCCGTCAATGCCTTCGGGCACGACGTTTCTACATAAAAGTTGTATTAAAAAAAAAAAAAAAAAAAAAAAATATCCTACCATATTACCATACTACTATAGTACTATACTGCTATATTAGCATCAATACTATACTACCATACTACTATACTCTTTAGTATGCCATACTGCTACACTCAGATTCAGATTCATTTATTTGCCATTTGCAGTAAATGGATCTGAATCTGAATCTACGACCATAACTACCATTCTACTATACTTCCATACTACTATACTACCATACTACTACACTACCATACTACTATACTACCATACTACTACACTAACACACTACTATACTTCGATATTACCACACTGGGGAGTATTCCAGGCAAAACGACATTTAAATTGAACCAAGCCGAATCTTCACCAGGAGATGTCCACCGTATGAACATGTTTAGCTAAGTGGTTTATTGCACCGTTTTCCACAGTGTTTAAATACAATCTCTTGTATTTTGTTTGTTTGACAGTCTCTAAAGAAGCCATTTCCTACACAACACCCATGCAACTATCACCGGGGGATTGGAGATTTGTCCAAAATGCGAGAGCAGAGTTTAGACATGAGCCGTCAGCACTCTCTGCAAAATGGATAAAGCCTTTTGATGCTTTCAGTGCAAACATTTGAGCCCCAAAGGGAATCAAAATAAAACCCTTTTCAGATCAACAATTTGGTCTCACACTGTTATAAGCCTCTGCTAGCACCACTCTGTATCATATAGCAGCCGTGTCCAGGAGGCAGACAGCATAGAGAATGGGGAGGGGGACGAGTATAGGGAGATCCTGCAAGACATCCAGTCAAAGCCTAAACCGAAAAAACATATTTGTGATGCTTAATTGATTTGTTGATGGATTTCCTCTTTGAAAAGGGCGAATTTTGGGACTCAAAACTCGTTATTTAGCCGTCAGCGCGGATAGAGTTTCTTGGTTTGTTGACTATAAGCTGACTTGGACCTTCTAAAGCTTTGCCCACAAGTCTGTGATAATAGCCGGCCATTGTGCCAGAATAAAATTGAATCTTTCAGCTGAATATGCGCTTCAAAAGTTGTGTGTTGTGTGGACGAGGGCTTGGCTGTTGGCGACTTTAGCTTAGCAGAAGGCGTTGAATGGATGAGATGGGTGAAATGGTGAGTGATTTGGCTGAAAGATGGAGGCTGGAGAGGGCTGGGTGGGCTGTAAGTGATGGGCTCTCTCCTTGAAGCATGCACACACACCTTGCATTGTGGCCAACGGGCTACTGCCAATGAGGGCCTGGTTCATCCCTGTGCTTACTCCCATCATAGAGTTCCTAAAAGTGTGGATGCGCCGCAAACGAAACACACGACACGACACGCAGTCAGGCATGAGGGGAGACAAGGCAGGAGAGGCAGGGAGTTAGACACAGGACATGGGCGTTTTGACAGCTTCATAATGAGAAAAGAATACATGTTAAAATGTATTGAAAAGGAGATAGAGCTGGGCTAAAGTTTCAAAGCAGACGTTTCAAAAGCTTAAATATTGGCTTCTAAGTAAGTCCAGCTGTTGCTCTTTTTAAACTTATTTACCATTTAAAGAGTAATAATGGTGGTCTGAACAGTGCTTTCAAATAACAATGTACAAGCCGCACCACCTACATTTGAAGATAAAATAAATTTTGCCTACATACTGCATAAATACTTGAATGTAAGCTGCAGGTTTTCAATGTACATTTCTCCATTGTGAGATCCATGAAGTTTTATCTTATCCAAATGTAGCCGACAGACGACTGTTTTAACTGGTTACAAAATGATTTAATGACAAGGTGTTTAACCGTTTAACAGTTAACTTCCACGACTCATTCACCTTCATCTATTTTGACAATAAAGTGTGCTGTAGTGTCTTGTAGCTACTAAAACTCTGCTCTGACCACAGCCCAACTCTACCACAATGTAAATACACATATTAGCCGCATTGCTATATAAGCCGCAGGAGTAAAATAACTAGAAAAAAAAACATTTATGTAAACAAAGATCTACACTGGTGATTTTGTAATTCTCCATCTAAGCCTTTATATGAGCATGAGTGCCTTTCTTAAGTACTGTTTACACTGTAGATACTCACCCAGAGCTGAGCATGTGAGCGCTGAGGCTGGTGGGGCTGGCGGTGCTGTGAGGGGGCGGAGTCACAGAGGAGGAGGCGGAGCCTGCGGGAGTCATGGGGCAGGAGGCGGAGGGAGACGAGCTGGCGACTGACACCACAACAACAAAAAGAGTTTAAGAACCGGTAAAATATGATGCACAACGTGGTACTAGTTTTTAGAATGTGAAATAATTACTAAGAAAATACTAAATAAATGTAGTTAAACAAAGATAAAGTGTATCACCCCCATCTAGTTTTTGATGTGAAGAACACGCCTTGACGGGAGAAACACTATTGTTTTAAGTCCTGGATCTACAGCCTCAGTCCTGGATCTACAGCCTCAGTCCTGGGTCTACAGCCTCAGTCCTGGATCTACAGTCTCAGTCCTGGGTCTACAGTCTCAGTCCTGGGTCTACAGATTCAGTCCTGGATCTACAGCCTCAGTCCTGGATCTACAGTCTCAGTCCTGGGTCTACAGTCTCAGTCCTGGGTCTACAGATTCAGTCCTGGATCTACAGCCTCAGTCCTGGATCTACGGCCTCAGTCCTGGATCTACAGTCTCAGTCCTGGGTCTACAGTCTCAGTCCTGGGTCTACAGATTCAGTCCTGGATCTACAGCCTCAGTCCTGGATCTACAGTCTCAGCCCTGGGTCTACAGATTCAGTCCTGGATCTACAGCCTCAGTCCTGGATCTACAGCCTCAGTCCTGGATCTACGGCCTCAGTCCTAGATCTCCAGCCTCAGTCCTGGATCTACAGCCTCAGTCCTAGATCTCCTGCCTCAGTCCTGGGTCTACAGCTTCAGTCCTGGATCTACAGCCTCAGTCTTGGATCTACAGCCTCAGTCCTGGATCTACAGCCTCAGTCTTGGATCTACAGCCTCAGTCCTGGATCTACAGCCTCAGTCCTGGATCTACAGCCTCTGTCCTGGATCTACAGCCTCAGTCCTGGATCTACAGCCTCAGTCCTGGATCTACAGCCTCAGTCCTGGATCTACAGCCTCAGTCCTGGATCTACAGCCTCTGTCCTGGATCTACAGCCTCAGTCCTGGATCTACAGCCTCTGTCCTGGATCTACAGCCTCAGTCCTGGATCTACAGCCTCAGTCCTGGATCTACAGCCTCAGTCCTGGATCTACAGCCTCAGTCCTGGATCTACAGCCTCTGTCCTGGATCTACAGCCTCTGTCCTGGATCTACAGCCTCAGTCCTGGGTCTACAGTGAGGATCCAGGACATATACTAACATGCACATTTCTTAACATTTATAGACAGTGGTCATCCCGCTCCCTATGGACCAATGGCTCCTTGGTATATTGTTATCATTGAATTTGCAGTGTCTGATTCCTTGATCGAAAACGTTGTGAAGTCCTCCGAGGCGACTGCTGTTGTGATTTAGCACCTATATAATCACAGTTCGATAAGTAGAGCCTCCTGTCCTGTCACCTGTGTTTCGTTAGCTGTGTATTTGGACTCAGCCGCTGTAAGAATCTCTCCTCAAACTCAATCAACCGACACATTCTCAGCTGTTTGCTACATGTCAGCTCATCCTTCACGCAAGGGATCACCGTCCATTCTGTCGCCCAAGTAAACAACTCAAGATGGGACTACAGCCTGCCTTTCTGTGTGTCATCATTGTTTTTCTATTTCTCACAAAGCTTTCTCTCTTTCCCCTTTCGCCAAATAACAGTTTCCAGGATGGTCCATCACAAGCGAAAGGGCTCAGACGCTACGACAATATCAACTTTCTCCAAATAATGTCATGGCAGGTTTAATCTTCTCCTGTCTGACCTCTGGATCCTCAAACTCAAACGGGAAGTCTCTCTCACCTTTAATAATTTATTGACAGATTGGCGATGTGGGGAAAGTGTAATCATGGCTCACCTGTTGTGCTGAGGCTGGTGGCGACTTGGGACAAACCCGGACTGGAAATCTGAAGAAGCGGAAAAGACATAGACAAAAGACCTTTAAAAACATATCAGGGCAGAGGCATAGACTGTATATAGACAATGCTAACCCGCTACAATTGAATTTAATCAACATTTATGGACATTGGTAATTGGTACTCCTTATAGATGAATGTGTTTTATATCATTTCATTACTTGTGTTTGGACTGTTTCAATGTCAACGGTTTTGTAAAGTCCTCCGAGATCACTACTTTTGTGATTCAAATAAATTGAACTGCATTTTATTTCGAGGAATTTACAATGAAAAGTACACTTCCCTTGCTCAGTATTGGTTTTAAAAATCTGGGGTTTAGCGCTTTCTATTATCCTGGTGTTTATATAGCTGTGAATCCAGATATGAGCTGGAACCACTGACCAATCAGGAGCCAACTGTCGCCAAATTCAGCTTTACCTAGTTGTGATTGACTCCTGGTAACTCGGTCAACAGAATTTGCCTATATTTAACTCCACAATCCCGCTCTAATAGCCTGTTGAAGCTATCTCTAATAAGGCAAACACTGGTGTCTCAGTCAGTCTACTCTACAGTGACATACAGTCTATGGGCAGGACATACAGCCACCAGTGAATAGAAAATATAAAAAAATCAAAGTAAAAAGGTCGCTTTAGAGCCAGGAACTAGACACAAGGATTTCTTCTATTGTTGTGGTTCAAAGTGTACGTACCTAAGCTTTACTTCATGTTTAACAATTCAAGGGGACACATGAGCATAACTGAGGTTTTATAGCAGTGGATGATGTAATTGTAGTAATAGTATTAATTATTAGTAGTAGTACGATTTTTTTTCAAACATATGCAAAATTATAAAAACAAAAACTATAAAAAACAATATAGCAAGACAAAGGATCAAAAGAAATAACATAGTACAAATAAGTGTGTGTGTGTGTGTGTGTGTGTGCGCGCGCGTGTGTGTATAGTACCATGTGGGGGCTGTATCCGGGCCCCTTGTGCCCCAGACCAGGTGAGCTCTGAGGCAGTGGGGGGGTGGTGCTGGTGGAGGGGTTGATGCGTTTCTCCTTCTGTCTGCGGTTACAGAACCAGACGCGGATCACCTCCTTCTCCATGTTCAGCTGCTCGGCCATCATCAGGATCTCCTCAGAGGTAGGCTTCTGGTTCTGCACACGAGAGGAGGAGGCGTTTCAGATTAATGCAGCTAAAAGTCTACTTGAAAATGTGAGACAGGCTTCTGCTCTGACAATGTTCGAATCTCGGCAAAAAACAGTTTTGTTGATTTGTGTTACAGCTGAAGGATTGTATCTTCACCCTTTGTAATGTACTGATTATTTATGTTTTTTATTGTTTTGTTAAGCTTTTTGAGTTGTCTAGTGTATGAATTGTGCTATACAAGTAAACTTGCCTTGCACACACACACACACACACACACACACAGACACACACCAATACATACGATAAATAACAACATGAGACATATCCTTTGTCGGATGAGGAGAAAATTAGAAGTTACACACAAAGACATACATTCACACACACACGCACACAGACATATGCACGCACACACACACACACACACAGGAGAAAACTACGACTCACCGTGTGGAAGTTGCGTTCCAGGACCAGTCTGACGTTGGTCTCGATGCTGGTGCGTTTCTTCCTGCGTCGCCCCGGGAGACCCTCCATCCCCAACAGAGGGGAGGAGAGAGAGGAGGGGCTGGGCAGCATGCTGTCCACCGCCATGGTTTCTGTCAACAAACACATCAAAGATACTATTACTATGAATGAACATTATAATGCATCCGTTTCTATGTCGCTCTTTTTTGTTACAGTTACAATTTCAGTTCAGTTCAACATCACAACAGATTTCAGATACAAAAAAATAAAAATCACTTTATTGTCCCTGCAGGGAAATTTGTTCTCTGCATCTGACCCATCCTGATGCCACTAAGGCTTGCGTCAGGGGCAGAGGTCTCTGTGGTACCGCGCCCGGGAACTCATCTCCAGATGTTGATACAAGGCTTGATCAGGACTACCTATTGTGCATGTTTTTAGTCGTAGGGAAACCGGAGCACTCGGAGGAAACCTACTCAGAAACGGGGCGAACATGCAAACTTCGCGCAGAAAGGCTCTGTTTTGACTGGGATTCGAACCCAGGACTTTCCGCTGAGAGACAAGAGCCACCGTGCCGCCCAGTAGTACATAATAATAACCACGCTTTGGTTTTATATATTGTTTTTTGGACACTCAAAGATGCTTCAGATGTCATTATTCATTGAATCCATGGAAACTACTACTATGGCAACCAGTCCATGCCATCAGCCCCTCCCCCCCTCCCCCACCACCAACCATTCACACAATCTTTATTTTCTGCATTCAAAGATTTGTGACTCTGAAGATCCCAGTTTGCATCACCCCAACACATTTACTTCCAGATACGTACAGAAGATTACTTTGTCCCTTCTGTTTTATTCGTCACGTACAGTTGTGTAGCTGTTGTGTATCTCACCTGCGTCACTGAGCCACTTCTCCAGCAGAGGTTTGAGTTTGCACATGTTTTTAAAGCTGAGGTTCAGGGCTTCGAACCGAGAGATGGTGGTCTGACTGAAGTCGTTACCGTAGAGTTTTCCCATAGCCACGCCCACATCTCCCTGCAGACAAAAACATGGATATTAAAGATTCAGGATGTGTATTTCAACATGTGTGATACGAGGTACTTTACTTTAGCTAGGTTTAAAGTGTATTGTAAACACAGACAAATCTACACATTATTTTTCATCTAAATAGAACCCTTTTTCAATTTTATGTGTAAGTAAGAGCCCTGTGAGTCGCTCTTTTGAGTCGTTTTATAATTTCAATATCATTATCGGAAAAAGCTGCTTTAAAGATGTAATAATAGCAAAAATATACATACAGGTGAGTTTCTCTGATGTTCTACAGTATTTGCGACCGACTAGAAAAAGTTGGATTAGTTTCAAAATCTGATTCTTCCTTTGACGTTTTGCAAAATCTGGGTTAATTATAGTAAACATTCTGTCTGTCTTCCAAATGAAAATACTGCCCATTTTTGCTTAATTTTATATTTAAATCACTAAATTCTCAACCAAGACCAAATTACTGCTGGATTATTATGTCTGTATGTTAAGTACGGTATATATTAACTCATTGACAGCCAGCCCATTTCAGAACAGGTACTTCCATATTGCCAGCCATTTCTGATGGTTTTTACTGATTTTTAAAGACCCACAGAATATTGTGTACTATGACTATCTGAAATCCGACAGATTCTAAAAGAATGGACTGTCTACTTTCCTCAGCAAAAATAATTTTGTTTATAGCTTTTTTCGTTCCCCTGTAATCCTCCGTCGAGTAGAGGGAAGTTTTACTGAAATCACCAGAAAGTTGAGAAAAAAGAGGCACAACATGTGCACCTAACTGTTTTCAAACCATTCAGAGAGAAATGCTGCCACCTGCTGGCTCGATAAAATATGGTCTCAAGTCATCCCCATACATATTAGATACAATAGACATCTGGGAACGTGAAAATAGCGGAAAAGGGTCGTATTAATGCGTCAATGGCACACAACGTTACTATTTACTTTGACGTATTTGTGCGTCAATGGGACACAATTAGTTAAATAACATTGACTTTGGGTTATGGCTGCTTAAAATGTCTGTCTGAATTATATTACCCAATTTATAAACATACTATTTAATGTATAGTCTCTTTATGATGGTGGTGTCAACTAGTTATGTTTGGTGCAGAATTCTACTTCCACAGAATTCTAAGTATGCACAATACTGTATGTTAGCTTTGGAGTGTTTTGTAGCGTTTCGTTTCTTACCTGTGTGAATCCCAGTTTGATGCGCCGCTGTTTGAAAGTGCGGGCGAACTGCTCCAGCTCCTCCAGATCACTGGGCTCCTCGCTCATGTGTGCCCCAGAGCCGAGGCCCGTGGGCAGGGAGGAGGAGGCCAGAGAGGTGGGGGGCATGGAGGAGGTGGAGACTGGGGAGGGTCCGGAGGAGACTGCACCCACGGAGCCAGAGCTGGGACCCACCATGGAGCTGCTGCTGCTGCCGCTGGACACCACATCACTGCTCTTCTCCCTCTGGAAGCGGAACATGCCCTGAGTGAAATGTGTCTGAATAATTTAATATATATCATAACAATCCTGATACTATTGAGACAAGACCAGCAGATGCATTTATGAGTGCAAGGAAACACAAAGAAAAGCCATGCCAGGTTTCAAAGCTTTGTAAAAATGATGGTGCATTTACAGTATATATTTTGAATGGGGGGGACTCAAAATATATAGAGATAAAGAGCTGTAAATTCTTTCGAAGCAAAAATAGATATATTAAATACAATATATATTTACACATGTATAAAAATTAAATGCTCAAAGAGTACTTATATTTTCCAAGATTGTGTTTACAATTGCCCTTCGAGTTTGAGTACTGAGCCAAAGTCACAAATTACTCTCTACTCAATCAGATAGAGGTGCTCGCATCTATCCTGGGACCAAAGTGGTCAGACCAGTTTGAGAGCAAAGACAAATCGAGTCTAGTTTTGCAGTGTAGTTGCTCTATAAACCACTCAGTGACTAAACTAAACCTGAAACCTAAGTGTTTTTAATCATCTTTGTGAGCTGCTGAAGCCATAAATATATGGCAAATAAACAATTATTTTGATCTTTAGAATATCTACTTAGGAATTGAATCATTTCACTTTTTAAATAGAAAATTCAAGATCAAACATGCAATTTGGGTGAAGAATTTTTGAAATAATCAGGTCCAGTGGAATAAAACAGCTGTACAGAACTTAATTTGAGGATAAGTCACTTTAAATGGTCACTGTGTGAAAACCTGCACTACTATTTACATTGTTTCCAATTGACACTTGACACTTTGTCGTATATAATTATCCTGCATGTAACATGTTTGCACATTTCTTTCTTTTGCACAATCTAAATGTCTCTATCCATGCCAATGTGACATGTAAATTTCTCCTTTGTGAGAAAAATAAAGCACATCTCATCTTATCTTATCTTATCTTAAATTCCCCAAATTTAAAGCCACCGGCTCTGTCTGAGATGGCATAGTAAGAAAAATCTTTTTTTTTTCATTTAAGTAAGTAAGTAAGTAAGTAATCTTTATTTACATACCGCCTTTCACAGACCAGAGTCACAAAGCGGTTTACAATTGTTATTTTGGAGCATTAGTCTCTCACTCCACACAGAGATGGGAGGGGCCAGTACAGGAGACACATGCACAGTCTTATTGTGCATGTATTTAGTGGTAGGGGAAACCGGAGTACCCGGAGGAAACCTACGCAGACACGGGGAGACCATGCAAACTCCACTCAGAAAGGCCCTGGTCCGACCGGGATTCGAACCCAGGACCTTTGATTATTTAACCTTTATTTAACCAGGAAAGTCCCATTGAGACTAAGAACCTCTTCATCAAGGTAGTCCTGGAGTGTGCCAAGTTTGAAACAAGAGCATTTGAACAGACAGGGGCAGATTTGTGGCATTCGTTGATAGAGAAACATGAATAAAAAGTAAGACAAATATTGTATATTATCTCAAATGCTTTGCCTGGAATGTCCTGATGTATTGGTCCAATGCACTACTCTTCTACTACTACACACTGCCTGTCATTTCTCTATAAGGGACATTTTAATGCATATACTGGAGCCAAAACCCACATATATATATATTTGCAATGCCTCCACGATCTTGAATTATGCCTGGCTTTGAATAACAACATTGTCCAACTCTGCATACATTGTTTAGCATGAAAGCCCGAGATCTGAGACTTAACCCTATGCATTAAACATTAGGCCAGTGTTAAACCGCGGGAGGCCAAGTCATGTAGAGCAGCCGGCTTTGGTCCGCCTATCGCAAAACAAATGTAATCCAGCAGTTCTTTGCTCTGGAGGGAACAACTAATTGAGCCAATAGTATGCACAATATGTAGCTTCTTTACATGTTTACGAGTGACATCGATGTGCAGGGCAAAGTCAGGGGTGCCTTTGACTTGACTTCTTCACTGGGTAATGGGAAAATCTACAATGGCAGGAGACATGTGAGACCGCATCCACGCCATGGGTTACTTTGTTTTTGTCTTGGGGGAGGAATGAATTATTGAGATTCATAGCTTGTCTTAGCTACAACAAGATGTCTATATGGAAATCACCTGCTTTGGATAAGATGGTGGGGCTACATAAAGCATTGTATTGTAACTGGATCAAACAGATATGATATTAACCCGAGGGAACAGTTTTTTTTCTTTCAGAGTGAAATATATCCAAATATATAAATGATATAAAAGGATTGCGGGGGAAACTCCAGCATGCCTTAGCAACCACTTTAGCAACACGTCTGCCCTTTTTACGGTGCAAAGCTAATTACATATGAACAAATGCCCATATAAGGAAATTGGCTCCAGCAAGCTTATGTTCAAATCGGTTTCAGACATTAATTTAAGCTAATTGATGTTGGGTTCTTTTTGTACTCACCAATGCCTGGACTGAATGAGCAGCTAAGTCTGTTCCCTTTCCCTAATCTGAGCTGGAAAATGAAAAGCTTTGAGGGAGTTTTTCTCAGATTCCTGCACTTGCAAATGACCCTTCATATAATCAGATACCACATCTGGCATGGTGCTATTTGTACTGGGTGCAGCACTGACTGCCACCCAGGGGAAGAAAATGGATAGATGGACATTTTATGTATGGATCTGCACAATCAGAATCTGTGAATAACTGAAAAATGTCTCTGGGTAGACCTGTTTCCATATTGCACATACTAACCCTAACCATCATTTGGGGAATGAAATCTATCTTTTCCATTCGTCCGTAGGTATTCCACTGCTGTTTTATACCACATACAAAAACTAATCTTAGCATGATAACATTTTCCAAAATTGTGCTTATTTTGTGATTTTGTTTACAAAAAAAAGGCCTACGAAATGCCTCCATTGGCCAACCGGATAGAGTGGCTCGCATCTCGCCTGGAACCAGTGTGGTCAGACTAGACACATTGAGACGCATTTTATTACCCTTCATATTGTTTCACCATTTTCATTTTCAACTTAAACTACTATGTCAGAAATTAGGTAAATACTTTGAATCTTAACCCTGTGAGTTTTCATGGAACACATAACATTAACCTGGTGACTTCAAACGCACATGCAGTGGAGATGGAGAAGTTTTGGTGTTTGCTAACCTGTGGCGGCAGTCCCAGGCGTGAGGGAGTGGTGAGCAGGGCCCCGGGGTTCTGCTGAGGTAGCTGGATCAGGTTTGTGGAGGAGAGCAGAGATTGTTGTGTCTGCTGGGACTGTCCCGGCTGAGACAGGAGGAACTGAGCTGTGGACTGGAGAGGATGTCCCGGCATCAACACCAACTGCTGCAACTGCAACAACTGCTGGATGTCCTGCAGCCACGAGGGGGAGATAAGACAGATTAGTGTAAAGGAGACAGATTGGGCAACGTCTACTTTGTTTTTTTATTTTTAAGATCCATCAGAGCTGATAAAGGTATCTTCAGGCATACACATGTAACTTTGCCCCTTCTGTATTTCAACTTGTCTTCAACAGTATTTTAACTGTGGTTTAAATGTATTTTAACTTGTGTTTTAACTTGAGTGTTTTAACTGTATTTTAACTTGTTTTTTTAAACTGTATTTTAACTTGTGTTTTATACTCTTTATACTTCTGCAATTTGTACAAAAACAAAAGAAATTCAACTCCCCCTCTGGTGGTAGCATAGGGAGTTACAGGCAGAATGTATTTTTGATCCGCCAGATCAAGTTTAAGAGATCCTCGTCGTACAGTGTGGAAATGTCAGTGTTGCATCACCGGTTACAGAACAGTAGGAATGAGGAGCACACAGCACAAGATAAATCAACATTAATTAAAATAACATCTATAACTTTAGCATAATAAAGAAACGCGATTAACATCTCTAGCTTTAGCATTATAAAGAAACAAGTATAAAATCTCTAGCTTTATCATAATAGAGAAGCAATGATAAAGTGCTGTATGTGAGAGTCTGGGACAAAGTGAGTGAAGAGGCCGTGGACACATGTGGTTCTATAATTACACAAAAGAACCTTGGTTCCCTGAGCTGTGAGCTGCATGGTGGTTCCCTGAGCTGTGAGCTGCATGGTGGTTACCTGAGCTGTGAGCTGCATGGTGGTTCCCTGAGCTGTGAGCTGCATGGTGGTTCCCTGAGCTGTGAGCTGCATGGTGGTTCCCTGAGCTGTGAGCTGTATGGTGGTTCCCTGAGCTGTGAGCTGCATGGTGGTTACCTGTGCTGTGAGCTGTATGGTGGTTCCCTGAGCTGTGAGCTGCATGGTGGTTCCCTGAGCTGTGAGCTGCATGGTGGTTCCCTGAGCTGTGAGCTGTATGGTGGTTCCCTGTGCTGTGAGCTGCATGGTGGTTACCTGAGCTGTGAGCTGCATGGTGGTTCCCTGTGCTGTGAGCTGCATGGTGGTTCCCTGAGCTGTGAGCTGCATGGTGGTTCCCTGAGCTGTGAGCTGCATGGTGGTTACCTGTGCTGTGAGCTGTATGGTGGTTACCTGTGCTGTGAGCTGTATGGTGGTTCCCTGTGCTGTGAGCTGCATGGTGGTTCCCTGAGCTGTGAGCTGTATGGTGGTTACCTGTGCTGTGAGCTGTATGGTGGTTCCCTGAGCTGTGAGCTGTATGGTGGTTACCTGTGCTGTATGGTGGTTCCCTGTGCTGTGAGCTGTATGGTGGTTCCCTGAGCTGTGAGCTGCATGGTGGTTCCCTGTGCTGTGAGCTGCATGGTGGTTCCCTGAGCTGTGAGCTGCATGGTGGTTCCCTGAGCTGTGAGCTGCATGGTGGTTCCCTGAGCTGTGAGCTGTATGGTGGTTCCCTGAGCTGTGAGCTGTATGGTGGTTACCTGTGCTGTATGGTGGTTCCCTGAGCTGTGAGCTGCATGGTGGTTCCCTGTGCTGTGAGCTGCATGGTGGTTCCCTGAGCTGTGAGCTGTATGGTGGTTACCTGTGCTGTGAGCTGCATGGTGGTTCCCTGAGCTGCATGGTGGTTCCCTGAGCTGTGAGCTGTATGGTGGTTACCTGTGCTGTGAGCTGTATGGTGGTTCCCTGAGCTGTGAGCTGCATGGTGGTTCCCTGTGCTGTGAGCTGCATGGTGGTTCCCTGAGCTGCATGGTGGTTCCCTGAGCTGTGAGCTGCATGGTGGTTCCCTGTGCTGTGAGCTGCATGGTGGTTCCCTGAGCTGCATGGTGGTTCCCTGAGCTGTGAGCTGTATGGTGGTTACCTGAGCTGTATGGTGGTTCCCTGAGCTGTGAGCTGTATGGTGGTTCCCTGAGCTGTGAGCTGTATGGTGGTTACCTGCTGTGAGCTGCATGGTGGTTACCTGCTGTGAGCTGCATGGTGGTTACCTGAGCTGTGAGCTGCATGGTGGTTACCTGCTGTGAGCTGCATGGTGGTTACCTGAGCTGCATGGTGGTTCCCTGAGCTGTGAGCTGTATGGTGGTTCCCTGTGCTGTGAGCTGCATGGTGGTTACCTGAGCTGTATGGTGGTTCCCTGAGCTGTGAGCTGTATGGTGGTTCCCTGAGCTGTGAGCTGCATGGTGGTTACCTGTGCTGTGAGCTGTATGGGCTGAGACAGGATCTGAGGAGGGGCCTGGAGCGGCTCTTGTTTGATGGTCTGCTGCTGCTGGGAGGCCTGCTGTTGGGCCTGGGCCTGAGCCTGGGCCTGGGCCTGGGCCTGGGCGTGGGCAGCCTGTACGGCGTGTGCAGCTTGGGCTTGAGCCTGAGCGTGAGCGACGTGGGCAGCGTTGGACTGTTGCACGGCGGCGGCGAGGAGCTGAGCCTGAGCCTGCTGCAGTAGGAGCTGCTGCTGAGCCGGCAGCAGAGCGGCGAGCTGCACACAGGGACGTTTGTTTAACATCAGTGGATTAACCTGAGCTCCAGGAAAATACATGAACCACGACTGAACCAACAGGTCCTGTGGCTACACTACGACAAGTGAGGAAAAACAAGCTGCTCTAATTTGGCAAAATATGGCGCTGGAAATATGGCGCCCTGGCCAAAGCTCTGGTGTGTCTCTCCTGGTGCACACTGGGGAAGACTTGCGCCGTTTTCCGAATGTGGTTTTACTACAAATGGCAAATACATTCTTGAATCATTTTGACTGCTTTAAACATGGGTCAAAATCTTGTTCAAAAAAGATACAAGAATTGTTTTAGAATGAGAAAATAAATTCTCAAATAAAGACTAAATGGCTTCGTCCGGTTGGCCAATCTTGTTTTACGATACTCAGAATGTGCTCAAATTAAGACAAAAACCATTTGATTCAAGCAATCACTACCTCATATTTAATCATTTTTTGCAGTGCACAAGACTGTCCCTGTCCTTTAATCTTATTTTATTTATGTAGTTGTCTGGTGCACAATGGGGACTTTTGCACATGTATTCCAATGTGGTTTTACTGCAAACGATGAATAAAATGAATCTGAATCAAATACTTCTTCCTGATCCTTTCTTATCCTGCCTTACCAAAACTGTAAAGTGCAGAGTGTGGCCTTGGTCGGTGAAATGCGACATATAGATAAAAATAACGTACTTACTGGTACATAACGCTTTTTGGATATGGACTTTTTGCGATTCTGCTCTGTCAATTACAGATCTTTTTGTTGTTGTTGCAAAACAGGTCGAATGAATACTGGCTGTTACGATCTTTGACATGAGGATTTTCATTTGCAATTGTGTTTTGGTTTGACCTTGTTTTATGTCCTAATGTATAAACAAGACCTGCTTTCTTATCCTTACTTGTCCTATAACACAGACATTCTGAGGGACGGATTGGAAGTGAAATGGTCGACCACTTTTTTAGATGCCATTTGGGTAAAGTATAATTCCACCAAGATCGTTCAAAAAGGACAAGGAAAATTTGTTTTGCTGAATTTGGATGCGGCCTAGTCGCACTCTATTCTTGGGTTTCATCTGACGTCAGGGCAGTGGCGCGAATAACAAACGTAGGACAGGACGTGACGTATCCTGGCGGTGCAGTCTGCCGGGTTTATACACGGAGATATAGTAGAAGAAGAAGCTCTGTCAAAATGCCATCTTTTAGTGCGGTGTAGGCTTGGAGCAACCGCACAAATAAAGAGAAAGACCAGAGTTTGTTCATGTTCCAACTGTGGTCTCATATAAAGGAGGACACTTTGAAAAAATCACTGGAATGAGGCGGTGGATCAAGGCTTTCCCAAATAAGCACCCCCTGCAGGCCACCCCAATGAAACGCAGCAATTTCTTCTGTTTTTCTTTAAAAAAATGCCTTGTGAGATTTCATAACACTTTTAAGCAACTTTTGTTAAGGTTAAACTCATCATTCTATCAATGTGCAGAAGCCAGTACTTTTCCCTTGTTTTGTCTATCTGAAGGCCAAGCTACAAGCACACTGTGGAAGCTGCTGATTGGAGGTCTCCATGCCTCCGCTCTGTATAATACACTTGCATTCTGTTGTATCTGTTGTTCGTGCTGTCTCTACCATCGACAATAAAACATGTCTTCTGTCTGAATTAAAGACGCGATCCCAGACTATGTCATCTTCTTCAGCCCGAAATCAAGACTCTTTTGAGAAATATTTGTTAGTACTCCCTTAGAATTGAGTGTCCAGATTAAGACGGTTCCAATGTACACTGCACAGGAGGAGAGCCTTTAGACGCCAAAACAGACTTTACATGGTTTTCAATGGGAGCAAAACTGAGTTGTCCCACCTCTGCTCATTCGCCCCCTACTGGCCAGTTTAATGAAACCCAAGACTACAACTGTACATAGATTTTGTGCGTGACTTACTCCGGCGAGTTGACTTCCAGCCAACATGAGCTGAGTGTGATGGTGCTGCTGCTGCTGTTGCTGTTGTTGCTGCTGCTGCTGTTGCTGCTGCTGTTGCTGCTGCTGTTGTTGCTGCTGCTGCTGCTGTTGTTGCTGCTGTTGCTGCTGCTGTTGCTGCTGCTGTTGCTGCTGTTGCTGTTGCTGCTGCTGCTGTTGTTGCTGCTGCTGAGACTGAGGGGAAGCAGCGACAGTGCGAGGCTCAGAGGGCTCATCGGGACGCAGCTGCAAACAAACAACAGGTTATAGCACAGTAATAATAACAGCTATTTCTTTTGGGTCAAATGTTTAAAGTACGATCACATTAGTCCAGTTCTCAGGTCTCTGCACTGACTTCCTGTGACTCAGAGAATAGACTTTAAAGCATACTCTATGGGGCACAGGGACTGGTCTCCTGCTGGGACTCTGAGGAACACAGGGACTGGTCTCCTGCTGGGACTCTGAGGAGCACAGGGACTGGTCTCCTGCTGGGACTCTGAGGAACACAGGGACTGGTCTCCTGCTGGGACTCTGAGGAGCACAGGGACTGGTCTCCTGCTGGGACTCTGAGGAGCACAGGGACTGGTCTCCTGCTGGGACTCTGAGGAGCACAGGGACTGGTCTCCTGCTGGGACTCTGAGGAGCACAGGGACTGGACCTCCTGCTTCAGTCTTCCTGATGTTTGCATGTGTAAATAGTGATAGAACCGGGAGCCAGGAGCACGCTTTTGTGGTTTAAAAGTTACAGACCCCAGCTTTAAAGTGTCCCTTATCTGAATTACGACACTTATAGTCGCTTTGGGGAGGATTCATTTAACTACAGCTGGACTTTTTTCCCTTTTGTTCACATAATAAATGCCAAGACTGAGAACAGAATCTTGGCAGAAACATAGACATAGAACTAATACGCTCCCTGCTTTAATAAAACATGGCGGTATATTTAAGGCTTTTATGAGCTTTGAAGTGTTGCATAGAGCTTCACATTCAGTCAGTTCTTTTGTGGAAGTGTGAGTGACGGAGAATAAAGAGTGGTGAGTGCGGAGACAGTGATGGACAGGCGGCCGCAGCAGTGACTGATGGGTCATGACAGTGGGCGCCAGGTAACGATACGGAGGCCAGAGGTCCGGAGATCTGACACTTTCCAAACCATCACGGCTCTTTATAAGCAGACGTCGCACCGAGAATATAGTTTAAACGCACGGAGAGAGGGAGAGGTGATGGTCCTGCTACAGTCGCACAAACACAAATACGCACAAATAGGTTTACAATATCTTTTAAAATGTAGGAATGAGAGTCAATAAACAGTAGCTTCAACATAGACATAGATAAACATAGACTGCAGGAAACTCTAAAACATGTGTGGAGTAGAGTAGGCAGCTTTATCGGTCAAAACAGTTTTGTTTCTATCACTAGTTTGCACATGCCTGTGTATTTTATCTCACGTCGTTAGATCAGCTTTTTTCAGACAGAAAAGTGAAACATTAGGATTTACTCTTTCTGTTTTGATCTTGTGCAATGTGGAAGCTTATCAAAGAAAGAATTGGTCAGGCGACAGTAGCTCAGTTGGTAGAGCATTGGCCTTAAGGCCAGAAGGTCGTGGGTTCAATTCCCACCTCTGCACCTTCTCCACCGACTCCCACTGATGACTGCTGTCGTTGTGTCCTTGGGCAAGACACTTAACCCCACTTTGCCCAAAAGCCCCCACTGAAAGATCAAGGCTATGCTCACACTCAGAGCAGCCGTCCTCCTGTGGACTCACCACCTGCAGAGGATCAGTGAGGGGCTGGTGCTATGAGACTTGGGTGGCATCTCTCATTGCCACCCCCCTGACCCAGAAAGGGATTAAAGGGTAGAGGATGGATGGACTTCGAAATTGACGTGAACCTTGAATAGTGAATGATAATATATTTGCATACCGAGGCTACACTGCAAAAAGTGAAAAAAAGTTTTAAAAAAGCTAAAATTTGGCAATATGTATCTTATTTTGAGCACATTGTGACTGCCTTAAACAAGATTTGCCAAAGGGACAAAGCAGAAACTATCTTAAAAAAAAAAAAAAAGATTCAAGAATGGTCTCAGATCTGGAAATAAGACTAAATGACTTTGTTCCATCGGCAAATCTTGTTTTAAGACTCAAGAGTACTGTGAGCGTCCTGTTCTGGAGGTTCTTTGTAAATCCAGACTCTGTAGTAGTAAAACCGAGCTCTTAGAATAATCAATGACTCTTCGGGGTCCTGGAAAAGCCATGTTCCAGCTTCTTCCCTCTGGCAGAAGATATCGTTTGCTGTGACGCAGGACATCTCGTTTTGCCAACAGCTTCTTTCCACAAACTGTTATCAGTTTAAACACGGCACTTTCATCTTCGATCTTGCACTTGTATTGAAACGGTTTTAGTTTGATCCATTTCACTGTGTCAATTCATTCCTGTTCTTTTAAATGTACTTTTAACCTTGTTTTATTTACCTACTTGTCTTGTGCAAACTGAGGACTTTTACGGATTAATTCCAATGTGGTTTTACTGCAAATGGCAAAAAAACTGAATCTGAGACGGTCAGAATGTGCTCAAATTAGGATGAAAAATCACTCATTTATTACCTCACATGATATCAGTTTTTATCATTTTTTGCACTTGAATGATCGATTCTTCAACTGAAGCGTTTACAATAAAAAACGCCAACATTCGTCTTGTTGAGATAGAGTTTAGTTTTGTATTTCTAACATGCTCTTACAGTAATACCCATGGTCCTCTGTATCTGTTATGACGTCCGTGCATTGAGCCACACTCACCTTGCTGCCGGCGGCTGTGGGAGAAACACTAATTTTCATGGGCTGGACCTGCGTTTGGGACAAAAACACACAAACATACAATCACACACGGGTCTGTAATCAGTGTCAAAGCTTCAAACGCAAGTGACAAGGACAATCAGGCAGAACCAACAACAACCAGCCTTCATCAAAACACGTAGACTGCAGAGAGAGTGCAGCAGGAGGAGAGAGACGGCCTCAGATATGGTTTAAAGACACGCGTTTGGAGAATTACTTTTATGTCACTATGGAACTATGTAGCACTGGATACGAGTCAGTGTTGTCATAATTATAGCTTGAATTGGGCAGAATTTACCTGATTTTAGCCCAGTCCTAATGTCTTATAAAGATTTGCCATCAGAACAAATAGGGACAACCTTATTTCAAGAGAAGTTGTCGCTTTTGTCTTATTCCAAGTGAGAATGTGGGTGTAATACAAAAAAAAAAATGGTTTCAAAATGCTAAAATCAAGATAACATTTCATATATTATTAAAGTGATAGTCTGTAACTCTAAATGAATTAAACATTTTAGGAAATGTGCTAAATTGACCTCCTGGCCTTAAATGTTGATATAAAATAAGTCATTTTATTAATTCTAATATTACGGGCAAGTCCCGCCTTCCCTGCTCTTAGCTATAGTTCAGAATCCACGATGCCGTCGAGGTTAACCAATCGAGTCATGCTGTCAATCATCGGCGCTGATGCTCGCAGCTGCTCACATGCTCAGTTGTTTGTTTTCACGGAGCCTCTATTAGGCTCTGGAACTACATGAAAATTGAACAAAGAATTCTGAACATCTGCGCTGAGGTACTTATGTATATACTGAACCTATATCCATAATCATTTATATACTGAACCTATATCCATAATCATTTATATACTGAACCTATATCCATAATCATTTATATACTGAACCTATATCCATAATCAGATCCTCTGCAGATGTGTCCTATAATGTGCAATTAATGATAATAGCACTTCCTGGTTTGCCGCGATCGCTTTTTTTGTGCATAAAAACATAATTTTTTTCATTAAAACGTTCACAAATAATTCTGAAAACCTCCGTGCATGTGTATTAATAATGTATATGCATAATATGTTCTCTTATTAAAATTTCAAAGTGTTACGGAAACGTAGGTGTAGACCAATCAGAAAGGAAGGGGGAGGAGCTTGCGTCGTTTTTTTTCAAATGAAGCACCCCTCTCTTTCTGACAAACTCCAGACAATCACTTTAACCTATCCACTTGTTTAGGACTCACTCAGAGTTTGGCATGGCCTACATTCACCTTCACGAGACACATATTCAGATATTCTAATAACTTTTCACACTTTCACCTGTTTAGTTAAAGGAGCAATATGTAAAAAAAACCTCTCCCACTCCCCCTGACTCGGGTTGCCAGATATGCAGACAAATTCATCTTTCTGATTGGTGAAACATTGGAGGACATCGAAACGAATACAATAACAAGATTTGGAGGCTGTAAAACTGATTCAGAAATTCAAACATCTCTGAACTACTGTTATCAGTTAAAGAAGTATTGGAAAAGACCATGTTTTATTAATGCCTTTTGACAGATTAGGGCCCATTAATGATGACTTGACATGAAAATCTTACATATTGCTCCTCTAATTTTGAATTAAACTTATATTTCAAAATAAGACACAGTAGATCGCTACAGAAGTTGTTTTTCATTTCAGTAATCTACAAAGTAACTGAAACCTTGTCCTCTTCTTACTAATACTGGCTTTTGGATAAATGTCTTGGATCTGTGTCTGTGGAGGTTTGGATTATCTGAAGAAATGAGAGGAATGAGAGAGAACCCACCTGGTCGTCAGGGCTGTTTCTGTCTGAGTCTGAAACAGATAAACATTTTATAAGTCAAGTGAAATATTGACACGAATCGACAGGAAGTTACACGGCCTCCTGTAAGAGCCACCGCGGAACGCAACACTGGAAATACAGCAGAAATATACAAACACCACCAACAGAGACCTGTGCATCTTCAACTTGAATTTTTAATATGACGAGAATCAAGATTTTTGTTTTAATTCATGTAATCTTTGAATAGTTTAGTTGGTGCTCCACTAAAAACATGTTCAATAGGTGAAGGTTGAATTAAAGTGTGTTTGTGAGTGCGACTGTGGGACTACAGATGGACATTAGCTACAAAGCTACACTGTTTATTAGTGATGGGTTGATGAAGCTTCATGAAGTGTTGAACCTTTTCATCCATTGGTTCGAGAAAAGGTTCATTTCTTGATGCTTCATATGCTCACAAACCTCCTGTTGGTCAAAATCTGTATTGACAATTGAACTGTTTGTGAGGCTCTTGGTGCATAGGAATTAATACTGGTAACAGAAATAAAAATGTAATTTGATTGTGTATGACCCATTAATTCATCTGTTTCATTATGATCAATATCAGTAGTGAAAATGAATATATTTTAAATGACAATAAAATTATAATGTACTGGTAACTGGTACAGTTGTCTGCTCTAATACACACACACACACACACACATACATATATGTAGATATATATTTATATACATATTTAATGATGAATGATTATAGCTTTTTAAGTCAAAATCAATGTTATAAATCCAATGGGACAAAAAACATTTTGAAAGTGTAAGTGATTTTCAAAGGACGTGACACAAATATCATTTGGGATTGTGACCCCATCAGTTGTTTAAAACCAAAACATTTCTGACAAAATTCTTTCTCGTGTATTTACATCGACGCACTCCCGGTGAGATTCGAACCCCGGTCTCCCAGGTCCCAGCCCTGATTCCCACCAGCTGATACCACAACCCTCTCCATCACTGAGTACATTAATCACCAAGACAAACACACAGTTTGAGCGGATCTTCTGCAGTACTTCATGAATCGCTCCCGATGCTTCAAACGTCATTAGTGACGTCACTAAAACAACTCAGGCTTCGGCCCGAGCTCCGATAAAAACTTCAGGGATTTCTCGGCTCAAGCCCCGAAGCGCCATCATGTGATACTACTGTACATGTTAGCATCATGTGATACTACTGTACATGTTAGCATCATGTGATACTACTGTACATGTTAGCATCATGTGATACTACTGTACATGTTAGCATCATGTGATACTACTGAACATGTTAGCATCATGTGATACTACTGAACATGTTAGCATCATGTGATACTACTGAACATGTTAGCATCATGTGATACTACTGAACATGTTAGCATCATGTGATACTACTGAACATGTTAGCATCATGTGATACTACTGAACATGTTAGCATCATGTGATACTACTGTACTGAACGTGCTACTGTAGTAGTAATAGTAGTTTATAGAGTAGAGTATATTTACCTGAGCTGTCTCCTGGATAGTCCGCTCCAGGCTTCTCCTCCTCTGCTTTGGACATCCTGATATCTGCAAGACAAAGATGCACAGGTCAACACACATACACACACTTTTGACAACACAACACAGGACTAACAAATATATCAGTGACCAACGAATCCAATGATTGTCTGTCGACTTGAGAAGTTTGAATATGAATATGGTATGATTATGAGACATAAGAACAAAACTTTAATTTACATCAACCAGTTTTAACATGTATTAGATGATACAAGCTGAATTACTTACAACTAATTAATACTAGTAAAAAACTAAAATTGTAGACATTGTTCAAATCAGATGTTTTGCTACAACAACTGAAAGATTTTATCTTCACATTTTTAAGGTACTGTGATTATTTAAGTAATCTTTATTTATACACCGCTTTTCACAGATCAGAGTCACAAAGCGCTTTACACACTCCACACAGAGATGGGAGCGGGGTCCACAGAACAGGAGGCGCATGTTTTTAGTGGTAAGGGAAACCCGAGCACCCGGAGGAAACCTACACAGACACGGGGAGAACATGCAAACTTCACTCAGAAAGGGCCTGTTCCGACGAGGATTTGAACCCAGAACCTTCTTGCTGAGAAGCGAGAGTGCTATCCACTCGGTGGCTGAGTGGATAGCACTCTCGCGTGGAATGGAGTTTGCATGTTCTCCCCGCTAACTGACGAATACAGATTTAGGTTTCCTCCGGGTGCTCCGGTTTCCCCTACCACTAAAAATATGTACAATAGGTCTGGCATGTGCCTCCTGTACTGGCCCCTCCCACTCCCAAAAATAACAATTGTAAACTGCTTTGAGACTCCGATGTGCAGTGAAAAGGCGGTATATAAATAAAAGATTACTAAAAAAGATTTAACTCCCCCCTGGACTGCCACCTTAACGTGGTGGGGGAGTTTGAGTACTCGGATGATCCTGGGAGCTATGCTGTCTGGGGCTTCATGCCCCTGGTAGGGCCTCCCATGGCAGACAGGTCTCAGGTGACGAGTCAGACAAAGAGCAGTCCAGAAGACACCATGGACAGCACTCAAAAGAAATCAGTGACGTCGCCCGGCATGGCGCAGCCGGGGCCCCACCCTGGAGCCAGGCCTGGGGTTGGGGCTCGTAGGCGAGCGCCTGGTGGCCGGGCCTTAGCCCACGGGGCCCGGCCGGGCTCAGCCCGAATGGACGACGTGGGCAGTCCCTCCTGTGGGCCCACCACCCGCAGAGGGGTCCGTGGTGGCGAAACGGTGCAGAGAGGACTGGGCAGCAGTCGAAGGCGGAGACCTCGACGACCCAGTCCGCACACACAACAGCTGGCTCTTGGGACGTGGAACGTCACCTCACTGGGGGGGAAGGAGCCCGAGCTCGTGGGGGAGGTTGAGCGATACCGACTAGAGATAGTCGGCCTCACCTCCACACACAGCTTGGGCTCTGGAACCCAACTCCTTGAGAGGGGTTGGACGCTCCACTTTTCTGGTGTTTCCCGCGGGGAGAGGCGGCGAGCTGGGGTGGCCATTCTCATTGCCCCCCATCTCAGCCGCCACGTGTTGGAGTTCTCCCCGGTGAATGAGAGGGTCGCGTCCCTCCGCCTCCGGGTGGGGGATAAGTCTCTCACTGTTGTGACGGCCTACGGGCCTAACAGCAGTGCAGAGTACCCGGCCTTCTTGGAGTCCTTGGGAGGGGTACTGGACGGTGCACCGCCCGGGGACTCCGTTATTCTCCTGGGGGACTTCAACGCCCATGTGGGAAACGCCAGTGACACTTGGAGAGGGGTGATCGGGAAGAGCGGCCCCCCTGATCTGAACCCGAGCGGTGTTCAGTTGTTGGACTTCTGTGCCAGTCACAGTTTGTCCATCACGAACACCATGTTCGAGCACAAGGGTGTCCACCAGTGCACGTGGCACCAGGACACCCTAGGCCGGAGGTCGATGATCGACTTTGTTGTCTTATCATCTGACCTTCGACCGCGTGTCTCGGACACTCGGGTAAAGAGAGGGGCGGAGCTGTCAACCGATCATCACCTGGTCGTGAGTTGGATCCGCTCGCAGGGGAAGAAGCCGGTCAGACCTGGCAGACCCAAGCGTATAGTGAGGGTCTGCTGGGAACGTCTCGCTGAGCCCCCTGTCAGACGGACTTTCAACTCACACCTCCGAGAGAGTTTCTCCCAGGTCCCGGTGGAGGAGGGGGACATGGAGTCCGAGTGGACCATGTTCTCTGCCTCAATCGCCGATGCGGCGGCTCATAGCTGTGGTCGCAAGGTCTCTGGTGCTGGTCCCGGCGGCAACCCCCGAACCCGGTGGTGGACACCGGCAGTAAGGGATGCTGTCAGGCTGAAGAAGGAGTCCTATCGAGCCATGGTGGTTCGGGGGACTCCTGAGGCAGCTGTCCAGTACCGGCAGGCCAAGCGTGCCGCGGCCCGGGCTGTTGCAGAGGCAAAAACCCGGGACTGGGAGGAGTTCGGAGAGTCCATGGAGCATGACTATCGGTCGGCCTCAAAGAAATTCTGGCAAACCGTCCGGCGCCTCAGGAGGGGGAAGCAGTTCTTTGCCAACACCATGTACGGTGCGGGTGGAGAGCTGCTGACCTCGACTGGGGATATTGTCGGGCGGTGGAAGGAATACTTTGAGGTTCTCCTCAATCCCCCCGTCACGTCCTCTGTTTCAGAGGCAGAGGCTGAGGATGTTGGGGCGGAAACATCCATCTCCCTGGCTGAGGTCACCAAGGTGGTTGGTAGCCTCCATGGTGGCAAGGCTCCGGGTGTGGATGAGATCCGCCCTGATTATCTAAAGTCTCTGGATGTTGTAGGACTGTCTTGGCTGACACGTCTCTGCAACATCGCGTGGCGATCGGGGGCGGTGCCAATGGAGTGGCAGACCGGGGTGGTGGTCCCTCTCTACAAGAAGGGGGACCGGAGGGTGTGTTCCAATTACGTGGGATCACACTCCTCAGCCTCCCCGGTAAGGTCTACTCCAAGGTACTGGAGAGGAGGCTACGGCCGATGGTCGAATCTCGGATCCAGGAGGAGCAGTGTGGTTTTCGTCCCGGTCGCGGAACACTGGACCAGCTCTATACTCTCCATCGGATACTCGAGGGTTCATGGGAGTTCGCCCAACCTGTCCACATGTGCTTTGTGGATTTGGAGAAGGCGTTCGACTGTGTTCCCCGGGGTGTCCTTTGGGGGGTTCTCCGGGAGTACGGGGTCGGGGGTCCTCTGCTGAGGGCCATCCGGTCCCTGTATGACCGGAGCCAGAGCTGTGTTCGCATTGCCGGCAGTAAGTCAGACCTGTTCCCGGTGAATGTTGGCCTCCGACAGGGCTGCCCTTTGTCACCGGTTCTGTTCACTGTATTTATGGACAGAATATCTAGGCGCAGCCAGGGGTCGGAGGGGGTCCGGTTCGGGGACCACAGGATTTCATCTCTGCTGTTTGCGGACGATGTTGTCCTGTTGGCTCCAACGAACCAGGACCTGCAGCATGCACTGGGACGGTTTGCAGCCGAGTGTGAAGCGGCTGGGATGAGAATCAGCACCTCCAAATCTGAGGCCATGGTGCTCGACCGGAAAAAGGTGCCCTGCCCTCTTCAGGTGGGTGGAGAGGTCCTTCCTCAAGTGGAGGAGTTCAAGTATCTCGGGGTCTTGTTCACGAGTGAGGGAAGAATGGAGCGTGAGATTGACAGGCGGATCGGTGATTGACAGTGATCGGTGATTGACAGGCGGACCGCAGTGATGCGGTCGCTGTATCGGACTGTTGTGGTAAAGAAGGAGCTGAGCCGAAAGGCAAAGCTCTCGATTTACCGGTCAATCTTCGTTCCCTCCCTCACCTATGGTCATGAGCTTTGGGTAATGACCGAAAGAACGAGATCGCGGATACAAGCGGTCGAAATGAGCTTCCTCCGCAGAGTGGCTGGGCGCTCCCTTAGAGATAGGGTGAGGAGCTCAGTCACACGGGAGGAGCTCGGAGTAGAGCCGCTGCTTCTCCACGTCGAGAGGAACCAGTTGAGGTGGCTCGGGCATCTGTTCCGGATGCCTCCTGGACGCCTCCCTGGGGAGGTGTTCCGGGCACGTCCCACCGGGAGGAGGCCCCGCGGAAGACCTAGGACACGCTGGAGGGACTATGTCTCTCAGCTGGCCTGGGAACGCCTTGGGGTCCCCCCGGACGAGCTGGAGGAAGTGTGTGTGGATAGGGAAGTCTGGGCGTCTCTGCTTAGACTGCTGCCCCCGCGACCCGGCAACGGATAAAGCGGAAGAAAATGGATGGATGGATAAAAAAGATTTAAGTTCCTTTCATTTGAATGGGAGCCGTCAAATGCCCTGTGGGGTTCTAGTAGTTCCAGTTTTGAGTGTTAATGAACTCATGGACTTCTGTGTAAAGAGACCGTCACTTCTAACCACAGCTCCTTCTGCACCAAATCCTGCAGAAAAATTGCCTCTGTAGAACTAAAGTGAGGGTCCTGGGACGTGGACTGAGACTGGGGCCTCTGTTTCAGGCTTCACTTCTGGGACTGAGGTTGTAATTGGTCCGGACTCAAAGTGCTTACCCGAGCAGCCGCCATTACTCACACAACAAAACAATCGCAAAAAAAATCCCCCCAAACTTTAGAGACTCTTTTTTTTTTAAATCACTGCTGTAGTTGTTAAAAAATATGAGTCTAAACAAAAGCCATTGATGCCGAGAAAAGTCTGTAAAAGTGTTTGTAAGTTTACGACCCCGGCCTCCGACGTGAGAGAGCGCTAACTGACGAATACAGATTTAGATAATATTGATATTGACATTGACATTGATTGTGTTGACAGTTAGCTGCAGAACGTCTTGTCTTTACACTGATACAGGTTTGATAGATTGGATGCATATATATGGATATTTGTTCCTAACCCAGTCTCACAATTCAACACAAAAACACAGAGAATACAATACAGTACATACAGTAATATACAATACCCTAATATAATATAGACGCACACACGCACGCACAGATAGACACACACGCACGCACACACATACACACAGATAGACACACACGCACGCACACACACAC